AGGCAACTTATGTTTGTTTTTGTTTTTAAATTGTTTAAGCCAAATTAACATTGAATTGAATATCAGAGTTGCAATTAGCCTTATAGGCAATTTACTACATTTATTACACTGGAAAGAGCATTGCCGGCACTTCACAAAAACAAATTGGTTTATACAGAGACATAGATAACAGAGATAGACAACTTCCCAGCCAGTTCAGATATCACGCGTGCTTGCTAAACTTACAACTTGTAGCAAGTAAAACTTATTAAGCAAATATCAAAATCAGAAAAAAAAAACAATACATTTTCTGAAAGCTTATGCATTTGTCTATGGCTGCAGGTAATAACATTTATAATTCCCATTTACATAAATAATTTAATCATCAATTTTTAAAGACAACTACTTATTAAATTTTGTTACAGATCTATTCATATGAAAAAAAACTGGCTCAGTGGTTTTGTTCTGCTATGCTTTTCTGGGAAGTTATCAATATTTTAACATGCAGCAATAGATAAAAGATTTAACTTTCAAATGGTTAATAATATTAAAGGATCAAATCTACATCCATTAAGTTTTACTTGCTACAAAATGCCTTATTTTTTCAATTTTTGATAGGCATAAGTGATACTTCAATGGAGTATATAGGAGCTGCTTATTCTCTGTTATCTACATCTCTGGTTTATGATCTGACAACCTTCACCTTTCCGACATTCTGAGACCCAAACAAATTCAGCGCCTTCTGGGCTTTGATATATCCTTAAAGTCATTTATCTGTTATTTTTAGGCAGTTTTTAGATTTATATGCTAGTTTACGTTAGTTGATTAACAATCTTTTAGCAAATATTTAGTACTGTATATACTCTAAATATCAACTAGTAGTGTTTTCCCTATTTTCTCTTGTATTCTACTACAATGAAATTATTAGCCAACTTTATTCTATAGTTCTTATTACAATTCAGCTGTACTGTACATGTCACTGCTTTTGTTTTAACCTATATTATTGCATATTCTTCTTAAGTTTACTGCTTTTAATTATGCTTAAGCTATGAGTATTCAAGAGGAACTTTAATTTTTAGGTTAAGTGTATGTGTTTTATAGTCTTTGTTATTATCAGTAAATAGTTTATTAGTTAATATTTTTAATGTTTTATAATTTGTAAAAAAAACAACAACAGATTTTTACCATTTTTATACCCCCTCACTTCAAAGATGTGGGGGTATATTGCTTTGCATTTGTCTGTCAGTCGGTCGGTCAGTAGATCAACTGGTTTCCGATCAATAACTAAAGAACTCTAAAGTCTAGGAACTCCAAACTTGGTATGGGGATTGTTTATGACCAGAATATGAACCCAATAGTTTTTGGGGTCTTTATGTCAAAGGCCAAGGTCAAATTGACCTTGAATGTCAAAATAGTTTCCAATCAATAACTCAACAACTCATGGGACTTTTACCTTCAAACTTCAAAGCTCTCGGCCTGTAGATGACCCCTATTGATTTTAGGGTCAAGTGGACAAAGGCCATGTTGACCTTGTAGGTAAAAACGGTTTCCGATAAATAACTTGACAACCCATGGGCTGTTGGTCCTAAATCTTCGTAGATGCATTGATCTTGGCAGGTAGATAAGCCCTAATAATTTTGGGGTCAAGGTGTCAAAGGTCAAGGTAATATTGACCTTGTAGGTAGAAACGGTTTACGATCAATAACTTGACAACCTATGGGCCATTTGCCCTCAAACTGATAGGTGCATTGGTCTTGACCAGTAGTTGATTTTGGGGTCAGTTGGTAAAAGGTTAAGGTCACGTTGACCTTGTATGTCAAAACAGTTTCCTATCAATAACAACCTATGGACGCTTGAACATCACACTTTACAAATACATTGCTTTTGGTCAGAAGATGACCTCAATGGATTTTTGGGGTCCAGGGGTCAGAGGCCAAGATCACATTAACCTTATAGGTAAAAACTGTTTCAATATATCAACAACTCATGGACCCTTTACCTTGAAATTTCACAGATGCATTGGTCTTGGCCATTAGATAACCTCTATTGATTAAAGAATCAAAGTCACATTGACCTCGTACGTAAAAACTGTTTCCGGCCAATAACTCAACAACTTAAGTTGCCTTGGTTGATATTTTTTATTAAACTAAAATCCTTTTGATATACACATTTCAAGGTCTAATGTAATATAGCAAATTAGCTGTCATTAAGGAGGCCTACATGATTCATAAATTTATGCATATATTATTTGGTAAGATTTGTGATAACTTTGTCATAAAATTGCTGCACATAACCTTCAATGTCAAAATGACCTACTGACAAGTCATGACCAGTAGATATACTAGATAATCCCCTATTGAATTTTGTTCACCAGGTCAAAAGTCAGTCCCAATAATCTGAACATATGACTGATTAGCTGCCGATAGGGGGCATACATGTTTTACAAACATGTCTTGTTTCTTTTACAGGCATACTGTATTTCTTTTAGATTTTGCACTTGTTTGATAACTGATTTCAATAAAACTTTAGAGACAAAACATATACCCTGATAACGAAAATGTTCATTTTTTTTTTGATGAAGGTGTTGCGTTAGAAGTGAACTTATTTTGTAGTGGTTAAAATTTTAGAACATATTCAGGGGATGTACTATTCTCCGGTCTCCTAACGGTAATTCCCGGTCTCTCCCGGTCTATTTTGACCGTAATTTACTAGATATCACACGTTTATTGTCCGGTCTCTCTCGGTTTTGGAGTAGATATTTTATTTGATAACGTAACAAATAAATAAGATTTTTTCTCCAAAATTGAATGTTTGTCAGTTTGGTTACAATAATTAATTAACACAGATCATCTCTCAAATTTATTTATTGATCATTATTATTATTACTATAAATAAACTTTCAATTCTAAAAATAATAATTGCATTTTCATTTTATTTATGTATGATAAAAACAATAAATACATAGAATAATTGAATAAAATGGTACATTTTTATGGCATTAATGAAACATTATATCTACTCGCGTTTAGTGAAGAGATTCTAAGTTACAAAGTAAATTTTATGAATTATTTAATTGATTGATATACATGTACCTAAAAAATAAATAAATGGTTATAATATATTAAATCATAAAATAGAATAGAATTACATTAGAAATAATGCAAATAAATAGCAATTAAATCATCATAATGATTATTTTCGATAATAAATATTAACAATTTCTGATAATATACGTCTACAACCAGCAATTTTATTGTAAAAATCTATTAAAACGCTATAATTCATATTTCAAAAACTTTCGTCAAAAAAGTCACTCTAGTTTTTTTAGGAAACCCCCAATTTAAAGATATTCGTTAATGTTCTTAATATTTTCTTTTTTTTTATAAACATTATTTTCTTAGAAAGTCCCAATAATAACTCCCTTAAAAAATTCTTTTTAAATTTATCCACGTGAATTATAGCTTTTTTGCAGGGTTTTTTTTTCGCCCTTCATTTTTTATGTTTTGTAAATTATTTTTAAGTTCCCACGGTAAATTTTGGGCACGATATTTAGGTTTTATTTTTACTGTTTCCCTTCTTGTTTAAATTTAAAGGCGAAAGTTTTGCATATAAATAGGGATTTTTATAAGTTTTTTTGATTTAAAAATGGGTGAAAAAAAAATTGAAAGACTGATTTGTTAATAAAAGGTTGTTAAGTCAAATAATTAAATTACATTTGTAATTATTAAATGAAATTGTTTAAATGGATTAAAACTTGTTGTGTTAAATTAAATTTAAAAAAAAATATTCAAAAAGGAAATGTGTTCTTTCTTCAAATGTCTTGATTTATAAAATAAAATTAAAAGGAAATTCGCGGCAATTTAATTGTTTAATTCTTTTATTTGAAAATTTTATCTTTTTAGATATTGTCATCAAATGCTATATACTGTACTTACGCTATTTACAGGCCGGATTAATTTTTCTACTTCTTGTCCTTTGCGAAATAATAACAACTACCGTATGTTACTATAGCTAGACGCACTCAATTATATAATGCATCGTTTTTACCATCCTCGCTGGGACATACGATTATCGTATGTCCCAGATCCTCGTTAGAATTATGGAATAACCTCGACCCCAATATACGAAACTCTCAGACACCAACATATTTAAATCTAGACTAAAAAATCTTTTTAAAGCACCAACTGTTCCGAAGCATTATTTTTATGGCAATATTGCATACACGTTTAAGAAATAATTGTAGTAATTTAAATAACGATTTATATAATAACCATTTGCATGAAGACCCTTTTTGTCAATGTGATATTGTGATTGAAAATGCTGAGCATTTCTTTCAATTTTTAATTTTAGTTTAACAAGAAAAAAATCTTTCAGAAACCCATTTAACATCCTTTAAAAAGAAATTTGGGGTGTTGAAAATTTTAAAAAACGAGATACTTGTCATTTTGAATCAGTTCAAAAAAATTTTCAAGACGACCGACGTTTTATAATATTTTTTTTTTCATTTGTTTTTTTTCTAAAATTTTTTCATTTAATTGTTATTTGTCTAACTAATTACTTAAATAAAAAAATATTCTTACAATCTTTTTCCCAAAAACCAAAATTCAACTTTATTTTTAAAAACTGCAGTGGGTCGGATGGAACCCGTGGTGGATCGACTTAAAAAACAAAATTTTCACTAAAATTTTAAGAATAAATAATTTAAAATAAAAAACATATTTTTTAAAATTTTTTGGGGTTAAAAGTAATCATTGTTGCCTTAAAAGTATTTTCTTCTGTAATATTAATTTCTGGGAAGGGCTTAAGAACTTGTTGCCCAACCCATTTGCATTTTGATATATACTCATTATTTGTATGATATGTTTGTAAACATGTATTTAATACAATAAAATATGTTTAAACTAAACATTATAATATTAATGCTGCACTTATTTATTAAATAATGAAAAAAAATACAAACCGCTATATATACGAAAATTTAACTTATATCAACACATTTTAAAAAGATCTAATAATGTTTAGAATACCACACTTACCGGGCCAGTAAATATGATAACTATTCGCCGGTCTCTCTTAAATTCCGGTTAAAATAGACCGGGAGAGACCGGAGACCGGAAGCGACCGGACCGGTGAGTCTTTTTGGCAGATGGCGGGAAAAGAGTTGGTAAGGTATTTTGCACATTCTGACATTTTTGTGTCGCCTCTACAGAGTGGTGGCGAAATATAGGGATCACATCTCCGTCGTTTGTCCGACTGTCTGATCGTCAGTCACCAAAGGGCTAGTTTCACGAAGTATTTCAGGCAAAAACGTTTACTGATCAATATCTCAACAACCCCTGGCCTGGGCTCTTTACTTTCAAACTTCACAAGTGCATTGGTCTGGGCCAGTAGATAACGGTAGACAGACGTTTCACTATTGAGACAGTTCACACCAAGACGGTTCACACCAAGACGTTTCACTCCCAAATGGGAGTGAAACGTCTTCAAGACGTTTCACTACCTTTTATAACCAAAAATTTTTAATTTGATATATACTAAAATAGACCTAAAAATATTGAAAATGAAAATTGAATTGAACTAAAAATAGACCTTAAATTTTAATAAAAATTAATAAAAAAGGGGGATTCATTTTTTTGTCAATGACTTTAAAAACTCTTTATTCCTTCTTTATTGTTGTTTTGAAATAAGGTGTTCTTTATTCTTTGATCTATATGTGCAAATTATTTACATTTATTTCACTTAAAAAAACATACTTTTGTGATTAAAAATAACACTTTAAATATAACTAACTATTTGATCTTTTGTAAACATGGAACTCAAATAGGCAAATTTATTTAGCATAAACAATCTTGTGAACAACAATTAGCTTTGAAGTAACGTGTTTTTTTGTTGTTAATTTTAAAACATGGGATAAAAAATTGTTAACGATTATTTAATGCTAGTATAACAGTGCTTTGCGAAACATGTCAAAAATTTTATGGCCATTGAAATCAGAAATATTCGTTTAAATTAAATTAGAAGCATTGGGACTTTTTCAATATTTGTCATGTATAATCATTTTTTGTGGACAATTTCATTATGTATAAACAAACTTAGGGAAAGAGGTTTCCTATGTTTAAATTGCTGTTGTCAATATTTAAATGATCCAATAAACAACTGATTAGTAAACTGTTGATGCTTTGAGTGGAGTGTTTATACAACTGATTTTAATAGTGGTGTCGAAACGTTGTCTCAGTGTTTATACAACTAATTAGGGGCATGAGATAACACCAACAATAAAATTAAGTTTGTTTATGGCGTACTGTTTAATAAATTTGGTTGAAGAAAATATTTTTTAAAATAATTTATTTTATAACATGTTTCGCATTCATTGTTTAGAGACTTTACAAAAATAATCATTATAACTTCATTATAATGAAATAATCATAACATTATATAAATATATTAAATATATTGAATATTTTATTGTTGAATAATATTAGATACTTTAACTGTGTTGATTATCAATATTTTAAATGATACTTTATATATGTCTTTATTTTTCTTCTGTATTCTATTTTTTTTTTTTTTTTTGGGGGCGTCCGTGGCCGAGTGTTAAGGTCGTCTGACTTCAATCACTCGCTCCTACACCGCTGTGGGTTCGAATCCCGACAGGGACTTTTTGATTCTTTCATTGAGGGAAAGCTATCCCAAAGCTAGCTATGGAACGTCGGGTGGTTCTACTCAGGTGCCCGTTCGTGCCTGAAATAATGCACGGAAGGGCACCTGAGGTCTTCCTCCACCAGTAAAGCTGGAACGTCGCGATATGACCTATACTGTGTCGATGTGACGTAAAACCCAAAACAAACCAAACCAAAAACTATTTTTTTTAATTTACTATAAATGGAATTTTCTCATGTTGTTACACTTATAATAAAAGTGATATTTCAGAAATTTGTTTTTTAAATGAGTAATCTTCTAATAATTTGTATTAACAATACCATTGAAATCAACAAAATGAAACATTAAATTGAATTTCCTTTTTACACTGTTTGATTTTAATGAAATTAAAATTTGTTAACTTTCCTGGTAAACATCTCTTAAAAATTGGGAGTGAAACGTCCATACAATTGACAAAATGGGAGTGAAACGTCTAGGTGTGAACCGTCTTGGGAGTGAAACGTCTCAATAGTGAAACGTCTTGGGAGTGAAACGTCTGACATTCGTAGATAACCCCTATTGATTTTTAGGTGACTGTGTCAAAGGTCAAGTTCAAAGGGGCTTTTACTAAAATTAACCCTGTACGTTAATGCCCCAGAGTGGGTTATGTACAGTATTGGAAGAAGAAGAAGCTTGTCTGCTCATTAATGCCTACTGGTTGGGGAGATAACTTCGGCTGGTTGATAAACTCGGCTTTTTATAAATTAATCGACTTATCGGCCTTTTATCTGGAAATTTTGTCAAGTTTGGTAAGATATTTAAAAAATAGCACAGACATTTACCCGTTTGTTTAAAAAACATGCCTATAAATAGTACGGGAAATCCGATTGCTGTACGCATGCGCAGTAGATGCTCATTTTGAGGCCCGTACAGGGTTACTTTTATATATTGACCGACTACCTGTAAAGCAGACGATGTTCACGGATACATTTTGTAGATGAATTTAGACTCAATTTAGTCTTGCAAACTCAGAAAAAGTCCGATTGCACAAATAATCACAAATGTAATCTTTAGTGCAATGGAATTGAAAAACTGATGTAAATGCTCCGTTATATGTTATGTGTAGGTTGAATACCACCTAAATTAATATATTCCTTCACTTGTAAATTTTACGAAGTTCCCAAGCCAAAATACATTTGAGTCACTAATTCTAAAACTACATATTTCGTATGTTGATAAATGAAAATACATGTCTTTTTACAAAAAAAGTATCCGAGTTTTTTGTTGTTTTTTACACATAACATTGTATAAAAGTAACAGTCCTTATTGAAAATTTCTGATAAAAAATATTTTGTTATTTGACATATATGAATAGCAAAGGAATAACAAAATGTCTAGACATGTTATTCTACGTTTTGATTTAGGCCATCCTTAAAAATATGTTTGTTTGCAGTAACGCGACCGACTCACGAAATTTGCCCCGACTCAAACTTTTTTTTATGGTCTGGAGAAAAAAAATTTTTTCGTCGCCGAAAATTACGCCTTTTCGTTCTTTTAAAGTCCTTTTTGTTTTTTAGTCAGCGCATTATATCCGATGTTTTTTAGTCAGCGCATTATATCCAAGATGGCGTCGCCCATCAAAACGAAACAAATCACATTTTCTGTGACCGTAAACCTCGTAAATAACAAGAATAATATCAAAACCCTGACAAAAAATGCTATTCGTAAGTTTAATACAGACAATACGTGGTTTGATGTCTTTGACATAACATGTGAAGGAATTCAGTTGCCAGAAGAAGTCGAAGAAAATTTTGAGAAAGTGGCGAAAGTGAAAGTGTGTAGCACAATTACGTCAACTGATGTTTTTGATGCGGATCCATATGACAATATTAAAACTTTAATTGATTTTGACTCTAACTTAAAATATGTCACTATTAATTTGAACGTTACTGACTCTGAAGGAAGTAAACAGGGTCCAGCTCCTGGTCAATTGAAAGATGCTTTCTCTGTGTTGATGTTTACTCAGGGGCCAGCAGGAAGGATACAACCAAATAAAATTCCATTAGATAAGCCAAGGTTTAATGGTATGAATTTAATAAGAAAAATATTAAAGCTGTAAAATTAAATTGAAAGTCTCTTTTTGGTGTTTTTATTGTATTTATATCAAAGTGTGAGATAAAAACTTTACATTCATTTTTTTATGTTTCAATATTTAAAAATGTTTTGTTTTTATTTGCACATATAAAATCTGCATTGATATACAAGAAAAGTTTCAACTTCTTGTTTTACAAATTTTAATCATAATTAATTCAATGTCAGAAATACATTAACTTTTTGAACACTTTAAATTAAGAAATTAAAAATCTTTTTATAGTTTTTTTTTAATCTTAATGTTAAAATGTCCTTATATTTCAGCCAAAGATAAGTTGTACAATGACTTGGTGGATGACATACCTGAAATTAAATTTTCTAGTTCTTTACGGCAAGATGATGTAAGTCGTCAGATGAACATACTTGTTAATGCTTTATGGTACATTGATGGAAGTCAGGACAAAATTAATTCAAAGACAGATTGTAACAGTAAAATTCCAACAAGGTTGGTAGTACAACTAACAATGAAATATGTTTCCTAGTATAGATATGACTTTAAGAAAATGACTTGAGGAATATTTATTTATATGAAAAAATATCTTCAATTTAAGTTGCTTCAAATAATTTTTCAAGTTTCATATTAAAAAAAGTTTTTAAAGCAGTATACTGTTTAGAACTTTAAACATCTGGCAGTACTTGTTTATTTTACTCTTATTACATGGCATTGCTTACAGTACATTACTTTATATGTAGTTGATAATTAAGAAAAATATACAAAATACATCTATTCCAGATTGACCAAATACACAGGTTACAATGATTTCAAGAAGAAGCGCAAGGCAGCTCCACAATTATCATCAACTGAATTAAAACAACATGCAGATCTGGTACTTCGATTGTCCTCATCAACATATGCTATTTCATGGGGATCTTTTAAAGAAGACTTGACTGGGTTATCTGTGTGCTTACATCAGTATGCATCCTATCTAGAACAAAGTAATACTAAACAGAAATTCAGACAATCCTTACTTAATCCAGCAAGACCACTTGGGGATCATGCTGTTGTTCAACCATATCCAAAGTGTGTAGGTTCAGTCAAACCCTGTTACATGATATTGGATCAAGTTATGTCAGAATCTGAGGAGTATATTCCAGTGCTCTTTGATGAAAATCTTCATACACGAGAAACATTTACTAAAATGAGTAGAAAAAGATATATTGAAGGGTTGTCCCTCACTTATTCTGTGGATGTCCTCTCTTATGATCCAGGTGCAGGTCTAGGAAAGGTTGTATTTTTATGGCGTGTTCCAGAAAACAGGTCTCCAGTTGAAATGATGTCGTCTGCTGCCCGTGTATATAAAACTTTAGAGGCAAAATTGCCTCAATACCATACAAGGCAAATGCGTAAAGAATTTGTTAAAACTTATTCAGGTGTAACA